CGAGTGGATTTGGGCTCGCGAGATCGTGAGTCGGTCCGTTCAAACCGGAGCTCGGACGCATAGGTAGGCCAAATCTACTCGGATTTGGGCTCGGCAGAGACTGAGCTCGGTCTGTTCGAGTCGGTGCTCCGACCCAAAGACAGCCCGAATCGACCGGTCTGGGATTTGGTGTCACCAGATCCTTTGGGTTCTCCTTTGGGTTCAATCGCGTCGAGTTGGTCGAATCGATCGAGCTATTTGTTTATGGTTGAACAGCGAGAGTTCTACGTAATAGGGGTGTCACAAGTAGGTATTTTTGTTCTCTTCTATTTTAGCCTATCCAAAATGCGAGACGCAATAGGTGTAGGATATAAATTTATGGTATGCATGTAAGGAATAATGTCCGGAAGAAAATTCCTGGCACTGTAATACTTGTTTTTTTGATCCATCGTCAATTTAACTCGAGATAATTGATTTAACATAGTTTATATTTTGAGTATTATTGAATATGAAAGAGAGGGGTCGTTAAGTATTGAGAACCTACTTGAGAGAATAATTTTTCTGAAGGTGAAAAACGACAAAAGATACCTGTCTCATATCTTATTCTTAGAAAAGATTGAAGTTTTGTTCAGAAAATTCTGTCCAACAACCAATATAGTACATATATGCAAACATCTAAATCTCATAAATATTTGTTTAGCTTGGTTTCAATTCCCAATGAGCCCACTAAAGAAAGATCCATAGACTTAAACGGTGAGGGTTACCAAAATCTTCATAAACTAAGGTTGTTTCAGAAGAGGGTCTGAATAATCCCTCAGCCATCAAAGATAACCAATATGCCGACTAATCCACGGTTTTTCCAGGAAAGAAGTATACGTCGACTAAAACGAAAGGTTTCCGAGATCTCATCGAAACGTAGATCATCCTTTCTGTATGATCGCCAAAAGAGGACCGATCGATCCATAGATCATCAAAGATCTCAATCCATAGATAACGATCCCTCGAATGAAACATGCATAGACAAGAGGGAGAGAGGTCAAGAAACCCTGCATCACAAGGGAAAACTACCGGACCTTATCGGGATCTTGTGGAAGTAGGGTTCCATCATAAAACAATCGTTCGCGATCAAAGAATCGGCAAAAGAGGAACGATAGAACCATAGATCGATCTAACGATCCTTCGAAAGAGAAATGATAAAGCTAGAAAACAACCGTTCGTCATTAAAGAATCGGGAAAAGAGGAACGATAGAACCATAGATGGATTTAATGATCCTTCGAAAGAGAAGTGATAGAGCTAGAAAATAACCATTCGCAATCAAAAACTCGGCGAAAGAGAAACGATAAAACCATGGATGATACTAACGATCCTTCTAAATAGAAATGAGAGAACTAAAGGATCAAGATAAAGATCAAGAAACCTATATCCGGCGTCATCTTCTTGTCCTCGTTCCGCTCTGCTCCGGCCGAAGGGGACAGAGGAGGAAGAGAAGGATGAAACGGAGAGAGAACAGACGGGTTGGTCGGTGCGCTTCCCCTACCATCTCGTTTATTTAAGTTGAACTCATCGCGGCCACGTCTACCTGGGACCATCATGAATCTTGACATTCATTTTTAGCCATCTGATCTGGTTCATGTTCACATGATCGTGTATATATATATATATATATATATATATATATATATATATATATATATATATATACGAAAATAAAGATGTACATCGTATAATTGATGTTCAAATCAATCTGACCAAATAAGAAATAGAGAGCAAAGATAAACTGATCTCAATTGTTCGAAGATGAAGAAATCCAATGAGTTTATGATGATGGCCTTTGTGTCCAATGTTGAGCAGGAAGCCCACAAATAGTGGGCTAGGACAGTCCACACCCCCTCTTAATCTAACCCTAATTAACATTAGGAGGGTATGGTGGCTACGTTTTAGAGGCAGAAAAAGGTTATAAAAGGGCAGCAACGAGGGCAGCAACTTGACATCCTTGCAGTAGCAAAGAGAAGAAGAAAAGGAAGAAAAACGAGAGAAAGAAAAGGAAGAAGACAAGGACAACACAGAGAGACTATTCTCAATCATTATCTCAGGTTAGATCAAATCTACAGTAGACTCTTGCTATGATTACTTGGGGAGGTTTTAGATATTGTGAGCAGTGACGTGATCTTTGTATCCCAGTTAATCTCTTATGATTGCTGCTAGGGTTTAGGGCAAGAGATTGAGATATGTATATTCATTATTCTCATAGTGGATTATCTCTAGTTTGCCCCGTGGTTTTTACCCTTCTAATTGAAGGGGTTGTAGTGATTTAATTTTTGTATTTGAACATGGAGGCCAGTAATATTTCTATTAGTTTGAATGTAAATAATTGGATGATATGGAAACAAAAAATGGAAGATCTCTTGTATTGCAAAGATTTGTATGGACCTTTGTAGGGGGATAGTGCAAAACCTACAACTGTGACAGATGATGAGTGGAAGAGGTTAGATCGAAAAACAATTGGGTTTATTCGACAATGGCTTGATGATAGTGTCTTTCACCGTGTTTCTATTGAAATTTCTGCATATTCTCTTTGGAAAAAGTTGGAAAATCTCTATGAAAGAAAAACAGCTGGCAACAAAGCTTTTTTGATCATGAAACTTGTGAACCTAAAATATAGAGAGGGTGCTTCTATTGCTGAGCATTTGAATGAAATACAAAGTATTACTAACCAGTTATCTTCTATGAAAATGTCTTTTGATGATGAGTTGCAGGCATTGTTACTTCTCAGTTCATTACCAGAAAGTTGGGAGACACTAGTGGTTTCCCTTAGTAATTCTACGCCAGATGGTATTGTTACTATAAGTCAAGTAACAAGCAGTTTGTTGAATGAGGAGTTGAGAAGAAAGAGTTCAGCAACATCTCAGAATGATTCACATGCACTTATCTCAGAGAACAGAAGAATGTCAAAGTCTAGAAACAGTTCACGTATGGGTAGGAGCAAGTCAAGATAAAAAAAAAATATTGTTTATTATAACTGTAGTGAGATTGAGTGGGTGATTGACACATGTGCTTCTTATCATGCTGTAAAGGTTTGGTTTCATTTTCAGGAAAATTAGGTATAAAAAACTTATTTTTTTTAGCATTTTATATCAACCATAAAGGTTTGGCTTCATTTCCAGGAAAAAAAAAATACTGTAATTTGTTGCTTAGATATAAGAACTTGCATGTTAAATAACATGGAAGGAGAAGCTAATCTTTATTTTGACTGTTGGAAGGCTGAAAGTGAAGAGAGCTGCCAGGATAAACATCCCTTGAGAAGGGAAAACAACGAAACCAATCGGTGCATGTTCTGTTACCAGCATCACCTTACAAGATATATAATGGCATCCATACACATAATATAAGCAAGAAAGAATTAATGAACAATGTAGATGTCTCCACCTAGTTGGGAACAAAAGTTGGGACTGTAAAATATGAAACATCCAATGATTCATACAAATAAAATCCCTCATTTAGCAGATACTCACAAAGATTGCTTGATGAAGCCCCAAATTGGTGAAGGCATCAAGATTCAAGGATTCAATTTAACTAAATCACACATTTCTAATAAGAGGGCAGATTTTGCAACAACAACAGCAAGGTTGCACCTTTGTAACAGGAGAGATCAAGATTCGGATCACAGAAATAATCTCTCTATATTTGGTGGTAAGACCATATTTAGTGGTAAGACTAGGCATGTTAACCTTATGATCCTTATCATGGCTGCATTGGCGTCGGCATCCTACACACGTACGTCCACACATCTCTAATGCAAACTTGAGGAAACAATCACATTAGATAAGAACAAAAACTGCAAATAAAGAAACAATCGCATTAAATAAGAACATCAACATCTAAATTTGTTCATGAAGCCCTAAATTTGTTTCTTTTCTTTGCCTTAAGAAAGAACACATCATGATATTGCGACGCAGCTTGAATTTTTTAAACGAATCTAAATTTGTTGATGAAGCCCCAAATTTAATAGTGACACTCTGTAGCACAATTAAGTAGCAAATTGAGCGCATCAAGCTATTCAATTAATAAAGTCATTTTAACCATCATGTTGTTATTCAATGAATAATGTCTTCATCGATTTCTCTATATCTTCGTAGTTCAAGTTTATAATCAATTTCACTTAGGCTCTCATCAACTAGGATAATATAATCAGTAAATAACATTTACTGGAGAGTTTATTATGTAAATGACTAGTAAGTTTATCCATTATTAATATGAAAAGATAGGAACTTAATGAGAATCCTTAATGTAATCCTATATTAATAATAAATTCACTAGACACGCTTTCTATAGTTCTAATACCAGTAGTTATATTATTATACATATCTTTAATAATATCAATATAATTAGTGAATATACCTTTCTTTTCTAAAACTTACCACAGTAAATCTCTAAGAACCCTATCACAGGCTTTCTATAAGTCAATAAAGCCCAATGTTCATCGTACCGTAGCATATCATTCAATACGAGTAGTACATACCGGTCTGACAGGGGATCGATACGGGTAATATATCGGCATTTCCCTATGTACCATGTGTTGGTACACTTGGTACAAGTTGGTATGGCTCGATATGTATTGTACTGATAACTAATCGATACATCGATACAGACTAGTAAGGCGAACCATGATAAAGCCCATATGCAAATTTTTTTTTTCTCTCTATACTTTTTCATTAATTGTTTTAATAAATAAATAGTTTTTATGTTTGATCTTTCGAGCATAAAATCAAATTGATTTTTAAAGATATTTCTCTGTAAGCATATTGTTATTGTTGAAAAAATTATATTTTCGATAACTCTTTACTAAAATTTTATAATATAGCTCATGATTTTAATTTCTCTGTAAGCATATTGTTATTGTTGAAAAAAAAGGGTTCTGATGTCACATATGTTACTACCAAGTCTATAAGCATTTCATAGCCAAAAAAACTATCTACGGTGCTCCAAAGAAATAGATGGATTGCAGGTAAACATGATTCCATTTAATATCAAAATGAAACCATCTTTTTTCTAAAGCTAACAACAGCACCCAAGATTTCACACTAAAATAGATTTACAAAGATGAGAAACGATATTTTTTTCTTACAACACAGATGAGAAACGTTAACGAAAGAGAAGCGAAAAGTCTCTTCCATGATTCATCATCATCGTCTTCATCTCTTCTCCCACATGCAGTAGTCATTGCCAGAGGCAACGATGTGGAAGTTGGAAGAAACGAGATTCCCCACGTCGTATCTCGAGCCTAGCTTTGTCAATATCTTCCCATCAATCATTGCCAAGTAGAGGTCAGCATCAGAGGCCAGTTCTGATCGTATGTTGGCTTCCCATCGTTTCCGTAAGCTAATGAACTCCAGATCTCAGCCTCCACGAAGTTTGGCTGCGTCTGTTCGACGTAGATCTTGGCGATGCTTGAGGAGTAACCCTTGGCAAAGTCGAGCCTCCACTTGTCGAAGCCGATGTCAGTCTTGAGCCAGTTCAGCCAGTCCGTGAGCTCACGCTGGACCTGCGTGTTGAGGTGGTCGATGTCGGGAGCCGCCGCGAAGCCCTCGCCGGTGTTGAGGTTGCCGGTGCCGTCGGAGTATTGTGTGTCGTCCCTACAGATCATGTGTGGACCCCAATCGAGGCGGGCATCATCGATTCCGCCTTCGAAGATGCACCATATGCCTCTCCCGTCTTGCTTGTCTGCGCAATGATGGTTGATGACGATGTCAGCCACGCATTTGACTCCCTTGTCGTGGAAAGCGCCGATCAACGCTTTCCAAGTATGGGAATCAGGATGAGTTGAAGGCGCTGATCGACGCTTTCCACGACAAGGTAGTCAAATGCGTGGCCGACA